GAGGGGGAGGAGGGGGAGGAGAGAGTTGTTCCACAGTCCCTGGAGGAAGAGGAGGAAGAGGAGGAGGAAGAGGAAGAGGAGGAGGAGCAGAGAGTTGTTCCACAGTCCCTGGAGGAGGAAGAGGAGGGAGGAGGAGGAGAAGGAAGAGGAGGAGGGGGATGAGGGAGGGTTGTTCCATCGTCCCCGTTTCAGCTTCCTAGAAACCAGCCCTTACTGTGGGTGCAGCCGCCAGCACTACAGGGAAACACCAGTGCTGACCTAAGTAGATCCCCAAAGCCCCAGGAGGCAGTGACTGGAGGACGCTGAGCACTGTGTTTCTCCCCAGGAAAACAGCTGTCCCCCTTTACTAGCCGGCTCCGCTTCTCCCAGGAAGAGAGGATGGTTGTAAAACGAGGTAGCCTTTGCCTTCCCTGCCAGGCTGCCCTGAGGAGGTGGGCTCATGGCGGGGACAACACGGAGGGACAGGGAGCACAGCAGGGGTTGGAGAAGAGAGGAGGTTGACAGGGACACCAGCCTCCAGTACCTGCTGTATGTAAGATGCCTGGGCTCCAGGAACAACTGTGTGCCACTCAGGAGGCCTACCTGGCACCACCTCTGGGTGCATTGACTGGCAGGGTGAGGACCAGTTGGGCCAATACTGTATCTTAGAGCTGGCAGGTCAGCAAGGTGGGAGGGCATGAGCTGCCTCAGCCCTAAGGGCCCTGGGTCATGATGGGGGTCAATAGAGGCAAAGGGTATAAAGGGGGTTCCCAGGCCACCGCAGTAAGTCAAAGTTCACGCTCACTTAGGGCCCCAGTTGAAGAGGACCAGGGCTGTGCCCCAAACCTATCCTGGAAGTGTCCATGGAGGGTGTGGGAGAATGGAGGCCCACCCAACCTACCGTACCCCTGCCAAACCCTACCTCACCCACCCCAGCCTGTGCCTCACCCAGCCCTCGGAGGCCTTGCCCCACCTCCGATCTTGCTCCGTGCCCACCTACGTCTCCACCCTACCCCATACGGGTCTCAATACCTCATGCTCCTCATGTTCCTCCTTGTCCACAGCCATCAAAGAGTTCTCAGAGAAGGGTGAAGTCTGCGTCACTCCGGGCTGCGTGGTGGCAGGTGAGCCCCCTCCCCCAGGCCTGCCTCCGCGCTGTCCTCCAGCGGCCTGAGCGAAACCAAGCAGCCCTGTGGTCCTGTTGGCACACAAGCCTCCTACTGAGGGTTGGGCTGCAGAAACCCAAGGCCTGTTTTCTGTGTTCGTAGAGAAGAAAGCGGATGTGATATCCCCTTTCTATTGTACATTTTCTCCAAGAACTAAGTCTTAAAGCTGGGGGCCACAGAGAGCAAAGCAGGGAAGGAAAAAGGCTCAGGAAGGAGCAGCTGGGGAGACGGGAATGTGCTTTCCTTGCCTGAGGCGAATCCTGGAGCCCTGTGGTGATAGTTCTGAAACATATCCAGCTGGAGGGGCCAAGGCCAGGATCAGCAGAACAGACTTCAAGGGGCTCTTGGACAGAGTTGGCATAGTCACCTAGCCCAGAAGCCTAGGCTGCTTGTGCCCAGCACACTCTGGGTCCTGGGATGTAGCCGTCCCCTCTAAGAGAAAACAAACCCCAAGGTGGTAGTATGGGGTAGGGATAAGAACCTCCTCTTTCCCCAGGGGCAGAGAACCCAAGGAGTGAGGGTCCACAGGGACTGCATGGGGCAGAAGGGCCTTGGGCAGGAGCTAGGAGCCAAATGCCAGCTCAGAGGGCAGGGCCGCCAGCTAAGCCCTTCCTCAGGCACCAGCTTCAAGTGTTAGGTCCTCAGGTGGGAGAAGACAGGGGGGTTCGAGGTCCTGTGGTTTGTAAGTGTCAGCCTTGGTCTTTAAATCCACTTGGCCAATTTCCCTGTTGTTTCCCACCCCCAAATGGACTAACTCTCTCAAGAGCATAGAGCTGACACTGAATCTCTGAGAGCCTGTCCCCAAGGGGCAACCTTATCTCTCAGACTCTGAGACAGCGTGCCAAGCTGTCTACAACTCGAGGTCCCCTCTTCTTCTCCCATCCCCTGGGGATGAACAGCTGCCAGGATCCTCCAGAACATGGATCAATCTAAAAAGCCATGTGACAACTTCTACCAGTACGCGTGTGGAGGCTGGCTGCAACGCCACGTGATCCCTGAAACCAACTCCAGATACAGTGTCTTCGACATCCTTCGGGATGAGCTGGAGGTCATCCTCAAAGGTGGACAGGGGCCCCTGCCTGTGGGGATGGGGCACTGGGGCTAGGCTGGGTACTCGCCCTACCTGCAGGCAGCAGGGTCAGTGGACACCACTACTCAGGAGTTAGGGTGCCTGGACCTCACCTGGTATGTCTCTGTGCAACCCTCTGAGGCCTCTTTACTGACAGAGGAGTGGGAAGTTCTGGGGTGCAAAGCCAGGGCCAGGAATGACCAGGTACTACAGGGGACATGGGATGCTGACGGAGGGCCCCAGCAGTCACCTCGGCCTCTATCCAGCTCTCTCCTCTGCCCACAGGGGTGCTGGAGAATTCTACTGCCACGGAACGGCCAGCTGTGGAGAAGGCCAAGATGCTGTATCGTTCCTGCATGAACGAGAGTAAGCAGAGCCAGCCATACCGGGGCCCAGTCAGCTACAGCACCCCACAGCACCTAGCAGCACCTGGAGTGGGAGTGAGCACCACGTGGGGCCCATGCAGGGTCTGTGCGCTACGCCCCACCTAGCCTGGCTTATTGCGGAGTCTGTGCTCCTGGCTCGTTGCCAGCTACTCTACTTGGGGATTTGCACCCTTGTTTATACCACCCGGGATGACTGATTCCACCCTCTGAGCAGCAAGGCTTGGGGTCGGCTGCTTTCCTGGGCATCTCTAGAGGGAGGAGGGTGATTCTAGCATACCAACAGTGGGACTCAACAGGACCCTGGTTTTATGAGATTGTCTCCACTTGGGCACCTCCAGGCTACCTTATCTTCCCATAGAAACTGAAAGACAAATCTTGTGGCTGATACCCATCAAGCATGGACCCCTTCCTCTGGGTCCCCACCTTTACTTCATTTCTGGTCTCAGAGGCTGAATACACAGGGCAGGGCTACAGCATCGTGACAGCAGAACCCCAGCCTGTCCATAGCACCCTGCCCAGAACCCAGTCCACTTTCCACAGTAGCAGCCCAGCAGCCGTATAGAACCCTGCTCCATTTGACCCCAGAAGCCAGGACTTCGTTTATAACCAAGTCTCTAACTTTTGTCTCTACTCCTAAGTTAAGCCCAAAAGAGGAAGCTAGATAGTCCCCTGTCCAACCCCATGGAAGGCCCGCCTTCACATCACCCACCACAGCATCCTGAAGCTATGCCCTCCATCAAGACTCACCTGACTCACTTCCCACTGTGACCACTGAGCCTCTCTCCCTTGCTATGGCCGGCTTTGAGGCACTGCTCCTGTCTTTAGGGGGCCCCCTCAGTGTCTACGGTGATTTCCAAGCGTTCCCCCTCTACTAAGTCTTTGCTTGAAGTTCTCACAAGTTTGCTACCAGAGAAGCACCACCTTGGAGGGGCCTTGCTCTGGGTTCCAGCCCAAGTCTTTAGACCGCCACTCCGCTGGCCCCTGCATGGTCCCCACTCCTGACCATTGTCACACAGCAGCTGGTTCTGGCCTCCCTCCTGCCAGCCACCACTTCCTTCCTTGACTTGTTCACCTGCTGCCGACTGTGACGTCCCCATTCTCCTTTTTCCCAGAGGATCCGTGCTTCACCCAGCCCCACCATGCCTGTGTCCAGATCCACTCCTGTGCCAAGGTTGAGTCTGTGACAGAGGCATGCCCTGGGCATGTGGCATCCCCAAGCATCTGTGTCATGGTACATGAGCCCCCAGAGTCTGGGTCTTCCCCTTCTCAGGTGTGATAGAGAAAAGAGACTCTCAGCCCCTGTTGAGCATCTTAGAGAAGGTGGGAGGCTGGCCCGTAGCCATGGACAAGTGGAACGAAACCATAGGTAAGCACAGGCCTGGTAGTCAGCCATCTTGCAGACTTCAGCGGGGAGGCTGCCCCCTCAGCTCCATGACTGACTGTGGGCTGACTGCCTGCTCTCGGGAAGCCCAAAGCAGCTCATCTCTGCCAGAGCCAATTTAGGGTCCCAAAACTTGGCTCAGGCTCCATGCTGGAGAGTTAGTGGCAGCTGTGATGGGGAGCTTGTGGCTGGTCCCCTGCAGCTCTGCAGAGGGGTATCTCTCCTGGTATAGACCCCAGTCCTCCATCCCAGGACTCCCTATTCTGAATGTATGTTTAGCCCTCAGGCTATGGCAGGGCAGGGGTGGCTGGTGGACTATGACGGCTCCCACATAGGCTCCTTTGTCCATGTGGGAAGTGTCTCCCAATCCCCAAAGCGCCACAGCGAGTTCACTGCCTGAGCCAGGCAGGACTCCATACACCCCCAGAGCTCTGGGCTTAGGAGGTGGTTCCCTGTCTGGAGAGAGGATAGCTGGTCTCCAGCATGGGTGCTGACTCCCCAGGCCCTAAGTGGGAACTGGAGCGGCAGCTGGCTGTGATGAACGCACAGTTCAACAGGCGCATCCTCATTGACCTCTTCATTTGGAACGACGACCAGAACTCCAGCCGGCACATCATCTACGTATGCAGCACCCTCCCAGGGGCCGGGGTTGGCTGGATCCCTGCGCCTGGTTCGAGGTTTTGCAGGGGTGGTGGCCAGGAGGTGGGTGAGCCCCATGTGTGTCCCAGGGCACTACCCTGTCCACAGCTGAGCGGCCAGGGCAGGCTGTGCTAAGCAGAGTTCCCATGACCCGTGCTTATCCTCCTTCTCAGACATGGTGCGGTCTTTGGTACCCAGGCAGGAAGTCTAACCTCAGGGAGACACAGCAGCAAAGCCAGGGATGAGGGTGCTGTGAGGCCCTGTCGGGGGTCCGGGCCACACCCAGCCCCTCTCTGCCCTTCCTCCAAGCCTGCTGCTGCAGCTTACTTCTGCAGATTTCCCTATCTGCCAGGGAAGAGCTTGGGCTTGGCAGCACCTGCCTTCCACAGGGAGCCCGTGCCCCACCAGGCACAGTCCTGAGGGCAGAGAACTGCAGGGATCCCCAGCCCGGCCAGGGTCACACCTTCTGTGTTTCCAGATAGACCAGCCCACCTTGGGCATGCCGTCCAGGGATTACTATTTCAATGAAGGCAGCAACCGCAAGGTGAGCTGGACATGGCCCCTCACACACCTTGGGCCCCACGTGGGCCCGGCACTGTTGTTTGTTTACTACCCTTGCTGTCCACAGTTGGTCTTTGTAAGCCCCTGTGGGATGTAGGCTGGGCACTGAGCACTGGGGACATAGACACAGACGTTCAGTTTCTACAACTGTGCTAGGTCTGTAGGTCTGGGGTGAGCAAGCTCATCCAGTCAGTCAGCCCATCAACCCAATCCACCCATGCAAAACCAGGTCCACACTGACAGTGTCTGGGAGGCCCAGCACAGCAGCCCAGAGTCTGCTCTGTGGATTCCATTACTGCATCTGTGAAGAGGAACCATGGTGGGGTGTGGGGGTTGTCAGCCGGTTAGGAGGTTTTGCGGCAAAGGGTGAAGGGAGGAGGTAGGGAGGACAGAGAGCAGGGACAAGGGTATCGGGCCAGGAGGAGACTAGGAAAAGGCAGGAAATGGGAACGACCCACACAGCAGGGTTGAAGACACCAGGGTCACATAGCTGGCTGGGCTTTGACAGATAGGTGAAGCCCAAAGGAATTTATGGTCCAAGAGAAGGGTTGGGTAACAGGTATGGGGTTGGGGAGGGCAGCAGGATGCCTAGAATCAGGACCTGGAGCCACCTCAGAGCACCACATGTTTGATCACCAGTCTAGTGTGTCAGCTGGCCAAGCATGGACAGAGGGGCAATCTATAGCTCTTGCAAAAGTGAGAAAAGCCTCTCCCAGTGGCTTTGGGGGTGAAAGGGGGAGTTCAGATTTCAGGGGTAGGTAGGAGGACAAACTTCCTCAAGAGCTAATCCCTCCCCTCTAACTAAAGCTCCGCTGAGATAGCCCCAGCCTCATCCTGGCACCAATAGCTGAAGATCTACTGAGCACCTTTCGGTGCCAGCCTGGCGTACAGCTCTAAAAACCATCCCCACCCACAGAGGCCTGAGCATGGGTCACTTGGTGAAAAGGAATGGAGTTGGGGTCAGAGCTTGGTTATGAACTGCCTGTCACGGCCAGGGCGTGTGGTTCAATTCTGAGTTTTGTGGAGTAGGCCCAAACCATAGAACACACACACCATCCTGCAAGTCTGTCCCAGAAGCAGGATCACGCTGACAAAAAGGGACAACTAGGCAGGCACAGGCAGTCCCCATGCTCTGTTCTGTGCTCCCTGTGCCAGAGGCTGTGAGGGAAGCTGGAGCAGCAGCTTCCAAGGGGCCACTCCATGTCACATACCACCCCACCCTCACAGAACACTCCATGGTGGCCAAGGCAGCCAAGGCCACCAGGCTCCATCCACCGTCCTTTGGCCCAGGTGCGGGAAGCCTACCTGCAATTCATGATGACAGTCGCCACCATGCTTCGGAAAGACCTGAAGCTGCTCAAGGACAACGACCTGGTGCGGGAGGACATGATGCAGGTGCTGGATTTGGAGACACATCTGGCCAATGTGAGGAGGGGCCAGCCAGGGGGTGCTTGGCCTGGGTGCTGGACACCACCATATGTGACCCTTGGCTCCCACACAGGCCACAGTCCCCCAGGAAGACAGGCATGATGTCACCGCCCTGTATCACAGGATGGACCTGTCGGAGCTCCAGGACAAGTTTGGTCTGAAGGTGAGGCCCAGGCACACATGCAGGAGACGGCACTGGCACAGCCCCAACCCACCTTGGCACCCATTCCAGCCACAGAGCTACTTTTGCCTCTGAAGAAACCATAGGGCTGGGCCCAGGCAGGATGCCTTTACAGTAAAATGAACACGGTAACCAATCCCAGCAGGACAGCCACCTGCTGACCTGGGACAGTCGTTCCGCCTCACCTGTGAGGTACAGTCTAGAAGGGCTGGAAGACCAGAGGGGCTACTGATTGCTGAGGTCCACAGACTCCCACACAGGGCCTCAGGACATGAGTCCAGTTCAGACCCAGTGGCTTTGCATCGCCCTGACTATGGCAGTTCTCATGGTTGCAACTTCAGGCCCTCCCCTCCCCAAGGGCCAGGCAGGTATGACCTTGGGATTATAGAGGGGACAGTAGAAGGTAACCCAACCTAGGACAGGGCTTTGTCCCCAGCCCTGCACTTTCTCAGCCCGCAGCCCATCCCTGTGCAGCTAGCCTGTGGTTTGCGGCCTGCTGCCAAGCACGCCTCCATAGGGCAGGATGTAGCTGGGAAGAGGTGGGACGGAGCCCAGGTCGGAGGTGGATGACTGGTCCTGCAGCCCCTTCCTCCGGACTAGAATATAGAAGCCATAGCGCTGCAAAGTATAAGAGGACAGCCGTGGGAGAGCCCCAACCTGAGCTTGACCTCTGGTGCTTCAGAAGGCCCCTGCTTTGTCCTTGGTGCCGGTCCCCAGAAGTGGCCAGCTGTGATTCTGCAGCATAGCCCCAAGCTCCCTCGCCCACAGAGGACAGCAGGGTTGGTGCTACTCCAGACTGGGATCCCTCCAGGCACAAACCAAAGTCCACCTCAGGGAGCATACATTCCATCTGGAGAGGAACTGGAAGCGGCTGTGACACTCAGGATGAGGCGAGGCTCAGGGAGGGAGTGGGGCCAGTGGGAAAGGCCAGGTTGGAAGGTTGGGAAGAGCTGCCATCTCTGTCTGTGATCAGCAGGGGTGAGTCCTAGCAGCAAGTGTGAGAGACCAGAGAGGAGAGACAGGGTTAGCACAGCACATGGGTCATGAGCGCCATCAGAAAGCTGCATCACAGCCCGGATGGTGGCGTGGGAGCAAGTGGCAGTGCAGGAGGGAGCATGTGTGTTTCTTCATAGTTCAAAGGCAGAACCACAGAGTTACAAATGGGTAAAATATGGACCATGGGGAAGAGGCCTCACGGGGCCTGGAGTCTCTGTGGACAGCTGGTGGCAGGAACATCAGAGGAGCCAGGACTTGATGTGTCCAGTTTATGATGCTCAGAATTGCACAAACTGAGCGTGTCCACCCAGACACTACTCACACCCAGACTTCTCTAATCCCTGACACTCAGAAGCCCTTCGCCCTAGCCCACTGCCTCTGCCTTCTTCCTCAAAGCAGCCACGGCCCTCATGATCCATGCCTCAAGTATCACCCCAGCCCAGCAGAGCCTTCTGGTAAACCAAGTGGTCAGTCTGGACTTCCCTGAGTTGTGTCACTCACCTGGCATGCTCGGGCACCTGTCCTGCTGCAGATGGTGCATCTTTGCCACCTCGCGCTGAGGAGCTAAGTTGTGTGGTGAACTGTGGTAGATGAGGCCTGCTCATTCTCTGCCCAAAGCCATTTACAGATTCACATTGCCAGACTGCACTATGGGACACACCCTTGCCAGGGCTTGGGGGCACCCAGCTCTTCCACTCCAGCCCTCACAAGGTGGATGGCCTTTCATTTGGGTTCAGCTGGTGCCACGGGGTCCGGGGCTGCTTGATGTTGACCGGCAGGTGGTTATTACCTTTGCGATGTGTCTGTTCAAGTCGCTTGAAGTCATCAGTTCTCCTAAAGTGTCTGCCTTCCTGTTGATCTTTGTAGGTCTTTATTTTGGAGGTCACCCTTGGTCAGGTGATGTATACAGATTCTCCCCCTAGGACTCCTGCTTTATTCAGTCTTGGTAATTCAGTTTTTGTTGTTGAGACAGGGTCTCACTGCATAACTGTAACTGACCTGGAGTTCACTGTGTAGACCAGGCTGGCCTCAAACTCACTGAGATCCACCTGCTCTGCCTCCTGAGCACTCAGATTAAAGACATGTGCCACAATGCCCCATGTTCTTACATTTCCAACAGGGTCTTCCTATCAACTTATCATGGATATAGCCATCTTCTCTTTATGGTTAGTGTTCTTAGTATTGTCTGGGAAATCTGGTTGATTTTGTGTGCACAGATAGACATAGAAATAGCTTCCTCTCTTCCTTATGGACTTCACATAATCCAGTACCACTTGTTCACAGTCTACCCCTTAACTGTTGGTATTGCATGTCCTCTTTGGTGTTAAGTATGTGTCTAAGTGTATCTGTGTGGATGTATGTGAATGTATGTATGGTATGTGTGCATGTGTATGTCTGTGAATGTTCATATGCCTTTTTGTGTATGTGTGTCTATGTGTATGTGTGTGTCTGTGTGTGTCTGTGTGTGTTTATGTGTCTGTATGCGTCTATATCTGTGTGTATATGTGTATGTGTCTGTGTGTCTGTCTGTGTCTATGTGTGTATTTGTGTGTGTTTGTGAGTCTGTGTGTGTGTACATGGGTGTGTCTGTGTCTGTGTCTGTGTCTGTGTGTGTGTGTGTGTGTGTGTGAGAGAGAGAGAGAGAGAGAGAGAGAGAGAGCACCTGTGTGTGCATTTCTGGACTCCCCTCTGGTCTGCTTGCTGGTCCCCATCTATCCACGTCTCCATTACTGCAGTTTGCTAAATAAGTCTTAATACCCAATATAGCGAGTCTGGCAACTTTGTCCTTCCAAGTTGTCTTGACTATTCTAGGTCCTCTTCAATTTCTCACACAAATTGAAACTCCCTTGTCAATTCCACAACAGCACCTTCGGGAATTGTGATGGATTGCTTGAAATCTCCCTGTCAATTTGAGGGACATTGGCACTGAGCAGTGCTGAGTCTCCCAATCCAGGAGCTTGTACATGCCTCTATTTATGTTTCCTCTGCTTTCTCTGTGAGTTTGGTAGTATTTTAATACTTCTCTTTTTAATCATGAGTATGTGTGTGAATGTGTATAGGTGTGTCTGTGTGTACGTACGTACACGTGAATGCAGTGTATTTGGAATCCAGAATAGGGTATCAGATCTCCTGGAGCTGGAGTTATAGGTGGCTATGAGATGCCCAACATGAGTACTAGAAATTGAACTCTGGTCCTCTGGAAGGGCAGCAAGTGTCCTTAACCACTGAGCCATCTCTTCAGGTCCAAGTTTTGTATTATTATTATTATTACTATTATTATTATTATTATTATCTCAAGGTCTTCCACAGCTCTTATTAGATTTAATCCTAGGTACTTAAAAAATACTTTTTTAAATGGCATCATTTTGGGGGGGGGTTATTGTTTTTTGACAGGGTCTCCCTAGTCACAGCCCTCCTGGAAGTCACAATGTGAACCATGGCGGCCTCGATCTTGCAGAGATCCACCTGCCTCTGACTACCGAGGGCTGGGATTAAAGGCGCACGCCACCACCACGCCCGGCGTGTGGCATCATTTTTTAACTTACTGTCACTAGCATATAGAAATATAACCATTGTACACAATAATTTTACTCAGTTATTACTGTTTCTAATGGTTTATCTGCAGATATTTCCAGATTTTATGCACATAAATCTGGCCATTTGTGAAAAATAACTATTGTATTTATATTCTGCCAATCCTCGCTGGTTTTATTTCATTTTCTTGCTTTATTTCACTGGATAGACTCAGCATGATGCTTCTGTAACAGTTATAGACCTTGGTATCCTTCCTGACATCAGAAGGGGCTGCAACATTTCACCACCAAACACTGTTTGCTGCAAATTTTTCATTTTTGTGGCTGTGGTCGTTTTGTGTATTTCCTTTATCATCACACGCACCTCTTCTCCTATTTTGAGTTTGCCGAGTTTTTATCAGGAGTGATTACAAACTCTCCTAAGTGCCGCTTCTGCATCCACTGAAATAACGCCAGCTTCCTTCTCAATCCGGTCACCACTGTGAAGTGTATCGGTTCCATTGCCACATGTGATGCCAAGTCACACTTCTTGAAAACAATTTGGCTGTGATGAGTTGTCATTCTATGTAGGTCCATCCAAATCCTATTTTCTAGTATTTTCCCTAGAATTTCTGTATCCATAATCATTAATGAGAATGGTTGTTGTTTTCTTGTAATTTCCTTATCTTGGTAGTAAGGCTGTTCTTGACGTCATCCAACAAATTGAAAAGGGATCTCTTTTTCTCCTCTCTGGAAAGTTTGTGTGAGATCAGATATGTTTTTATTAAATGCAGACAGAATACATTAGTGAAGCCAGATGGGTGTGAGAGTTCCCTTGTTGGAAATATTTCAAATAGAAATATTCATTCAGCTGGGCATGGTGGCACACACCCAGAACCCAGGAGGCAGAAGCAGGAGAATCCCAGGCAGTTTGAGTACGTGGCCAGGCAGGGGTTACAGTGAGACTAAAATAGGTCTGGGGGACATAACTCACTTGGTAGAGTGCTTACCTAACATGCACAAGGTCTTGGATTCAATCCTTAGCACCTCATAAACCTGGTGTTGTGGCATATATCTGTAATTGCAGCATCTGGGAGGTTCAAGCAGGAGAATCAAAGGGTCAAGGTCAAGGCAATAGAGATGGCAGTTAAGAGCCTGTTCTTTTAGACGACCAGAGTCCAGTTCTCAATGCCCATGTCAGATGATTCACAAATGCCTGTAACTTCAAGTCCAGGGGATCTGATGCCCTCTTCTGGCATCTGTGTGTACACACACACACACACACACACACACACACACACACACACACCCTATGCATAAATAAAAATATTTAGTTTTAAAAAGGAATTTAAGGTCCTCCTAAGCTACATAGGAAATTCAACACCAGCCTTATTACAGACCATATCTAAAAAAATTTTAAAGTAGAGTACGCCAATTAAGCTTAACAGTATAGAAGGCTTATTGAATTTGACAATTAGTGTGGGGCTGGTAGAGCATAGTGGTAGAGTGTTTGCCTTGCATTCATGAGGTCCAATATTCAATTCTCAGAAATACCACATCTTTAAAAGCTAAATATTAGAGGGCTGGAGAGATGGCTCAGCGGTTAAGAACACTGCTCTTGCAGAAGACCCAGGTTCAAATCCTAGCACCTACATGGCAGCTAACAACTATCCATAATTCCAGTCCCAGGGGATTGAACACCCTCTTCTGACCTCCTTGGGTGTTGCATGACACCTACATGCAGGCAATACACGCATACACGTAAAATAAAAATAATAAATGTTTTTAAAACTAAATATTCAGGCTGTGTAATCTGTAAGACTATGTTTTCTACTTCTTTAATTATTAATAAAGGGGGATGGAGAGATGGCTCAATGGTTAAGAGCACTGGTTGTTCTTGCGGAAGTCCTGGGTTTGAACCCCAGCACCCACATGGCAGCTAACAACTGTCCACACCTCCAGTTCCAGGGGATCTGACGGCCTCTTCTGTCCTGAGGGCACTGCACGACACGGGTGCACTTACATACATGCAGGCAATTCACTCATACACATAAAATAAAAATAAATAAATTTTAAAAAATCATTTAAAAAACATTTATTTATGGGGGGGGCAGTAAGTGTATGTGAGTTCAGTTGCCTGTGCAGGCCAAGAGGGTGTTGGATCTGGTGGAGCTGGAATTACAGGCGGTGGTGGCGCTGGAATGGAGACCTGGTCCCTACAGGAGCAGTACATGCTCCTAACCACCGAGCCATCTCTCCAGCCCTCATCATTTTTGCTAAATTACGTCTTTCCAGCAGTTTTCCCAGCTACACTTAAATTTCCAAACATACTGCGCACACACATTCTTAACTGTTTTACTGCCTACCAGCTCTGGGGAAACATCACTTTGTCCTGATTTTTTTTTTTTTTTTTGGTTTTTAAAAATTATTACTATTATGTATATGAGTGTTTCGCCTGCATGTATGTATGTGCCTGCAGAGGCCAGAAGAGGGCATTGGATCCCCTGGAACTGGAGTTCAAGATAGTTGGGAGCCACCATGTAGTACTGGAAACTGAACCCTGGTCTTCTGCAAGAGTGGGTTAACCAGGGAGCCGTCTCTGCAGCTCTTTGTCCTGATTCTCACTGGCCGTGCCTCCTCACCTGTTTTTCAAATGTTCTTCAGTGGGGTCAGTGTTTCTTAGATCCCTAGGAGTCACCTATCTCTCCCTCCCTCCAGGGCTTTAACTGGACTCTCTTCATACAAAGTGTGCTGTCCTCTGTCCAAATTGACCTGCTGCCAGATGAGGAAGTGGTTGTCTACGGCATCCCCTACCTGCAGAACCTTGAGGACATCATCGATGTCTACTCATCCAGGTGAAGCAAGAGAAGGTCCCATGGGATCTATGTGTCTTTGTCCCTGCCCTCTCCCACAGTGCAAGCGCATGCACACACACACACACACACACACACACACACACACTTCCTGCTCTCAAGAGAAGACCTATTATGCACTTAACCTCAGGTGTGAGAGACACAGAGGTTCAATCATGGTGTACATGGAGCCTCACCCTAATGATGTGGGTCCTATTACGCATTCAGGGCAAACAGTCTGATTCTTGGAGAGCTCTCCAGCACCTAAAAATCTGCATGGGGTTGAACCTGCTGGCTAAGCAGAGCCCCTCCCTTGGCAGACAGCTACTCACCTGTCCCATTCCACCCCTGCTTCCTGTTCCAGGACCTTGCAGAACTACCTGGTCTGGCGCCTGGTGCTGGATCGCATCAGCAGCCTGAGCCAGAGATTCAAGAATGCACGAGGGAGCTACCGCAAGGTGAGTGTGCCCTACAGATAAGGCTCCTGTCCAGGCCAGGCCAGGCCCTCTATCCATTCAGTCTATAATGCTGAACATAAGCTGTGATCCATGTGCTGCCATCAGTGGGGGTCAGGACAGGAGCCAAGCAAACGGGCCGTCTTGGGGCCATCAACAGTCAGCAGCTGAGAAAACAGAAACCTGGGCTGTCAGAACCTAAGTGTGACCAGTGGAGGGAGGAGGGCAGGGAGCTGCTCTGTGGAGGCGGCATGGACCGTCAAGGCATGAAGAGACTAGCACAAGAGGTCCAGTGGGGAAATGGCCAGTACAGAGGCAGGAGCAGACAAGAGGCTGGACCAGAGAAAAGGCTTCCCTCCTCACAGGCAGGTCACCCACAGCTCAGGAAGGAGTGGCAAGATACTACGGAGCGTTCTCTCTGGCCTGGCGTAAGGTCAAGGGCCAAGTCTGGTGGGAGATACGGCCTTCTTGAGCCTTTGCCTCCCCAGGGACCAACAGGCAGGTGTTCTTACTCTCATTTCAGTGGTGAGAAACCAGGGCCCAGGGAGCTGGTGGCCAAAGTGGATGTGTTCCCTGGAGCAAGTGCCAGCTCTGTGCCTTGGGGCAGAGCCTAGCTAGACCACCAGGTTGTGGGGGTGAGGTCAGGGTCTGAATGGGACCCCAACTCTCCCAGCGTAAAGACCACCCTCCTCAAAACAGTAGAGCAGTCCTCTATCCACAGCTAGCATTCAGAGGCCAGTGTCGGTCATCCCGTGTCTCCCTCTGGGCACCATGAGGCCCATGGTGGGAGAGATCTGCTAACCTTGCCTCACAAGCTCAGGGGTCTCCAGCAGACTAAGAAAGGAGACATTGGCACATGGGTAGAATGAGCGAGTGGGTGAATGACTAAAGAAACATGCCAGGTGCTGTACGGCACGACGGTGGAGGAGGTGCGCTGGCGGGAGTGCATCAGTTATGTCAACAGCAACATGGAGAGCGCCGTGGGCTCCCTCTACATCAAGCAGGCCTTCTCCAAGGACAGCAAGGACGTGGTGTGTCCACCTTCTAATGAGCTCTGTCCGTGGCAAACCCCATATTTACCTTGATCAGCCTCTTGGCAGGGACATCAGGCGATCATTTTCACAACCCCACCCTGTGATTCCTAGTCAAGGCCAGTTCAGCCTGTGTGCCCATCACCACCACACACACAGCTCATTGACTCCTGGTGGGACATACAGTCATTCACCTCAGTGCCTACTCTGGTGGTCCAGAGAAACCCTGACCCCATGTGCCTCTGACCATGAGCCCTAGCCCTGGACCCTGTCAGCTCCCTGGGAAGGGTACAGACTATGCAAGTTTAGAGCCCAGAGTGGGCAGGCCCTCTACCCACCTGTGCGGCTCCAATCCTGAGTCAGCATGGTCATTCCCACATCAATATCACACCTCTCCTAGGGGATCAGAGTCAGGGCAGCCCTGGCCCTATTCTAGAGGTATCCTGGACCAGGCCCCAAGTGCTGGTCATGTCCCATAAGCAAGCCCAGAACATGAGGCTTTGCACTGCGCTAGGTCAGAGAACTGATTGACAAGGTGAAGTCCGTGTTTGTGGATACCCTGGATGAGCTCAAGTGGATGGATGAGGAATCCAAAAAGAAGGCCCAGGAAAAGGTGAGCAAGCCACAGTGTGATAGCCCTATGGGAGCTAACACAGAACACCCTGCTGGAAAGGCAGCCCCATGGGAGGGAAGCTGGAACAGGTACCATGCCTTGGACATTCCCAGGAAACAGAAGGGGGCACTGTAGTCTCAGAGGTCAGGACCATTCCAAGCTCCACTGAGCCTCCAGCTCACTCCCCCATCCTGCCCCCCTCCCAACTTCTGTAATCCACATACAGAGCCCCATCTGGGCATCTTGTTCTGAACGATGGGTGGCGGTGGCGGGGGGGGGGGTCATGTTACTAGTTCCCTTACCCACACAGCAAGGGGAACAGAGCCAGCATGTGGGGTTGAGGGACCCTCCCATTGTGGGTAGCACCAGCAGCCCCTCCTCTGTGCAGGCCATGAGTATCCGGGAGCAGATCGGCTACCCTGACTACATTTTAGATGATCAGAACAGGCACCTGGATGAAGAATATTCCAACGTGTGTGTCCCTCAGTGCTCTGCCTGGCCCCTGCCCTGAACCATCCCCAGAAGTCATGTCAGACACCCTCCTGACCTCTCAGTTGCTAACTCAGCCACCCTCTCACGCTGGCGGCGGCGGTGGGGGTGGGGGGCTCTAGCCTCATCCTGCTAACAAATGGGGAAACTTGGGCCCAGAGCAGCTAAACTTTCTGAGAGTCACTTAGATGTTCAGAGCCAGGGTGCCTTCCCCCATCCACCTGCTCCAGGAGCCTGAGGGCACCTACCCACTGCCTGGCAAGTCCTGAGGTCCTTCCCCAGTCCTCTGAGGACTCAGCCTGAGCACCAGCTACGACAATCCTATTCTTCTTCTAGTTGAACTTCTCAGAGGTACAGTACTTTGAGAATGGGCTTCAGAACCTCAAGGCCAGTGCCCAGAGGAGCCTCAAGAAGCTTCGGGAAAAGGTGGACCAGAATCTGTGAGTGGAGTGCTGCATGGCCAACCCGGAATGCAAGGGGCTACCTACTGGGCAGGGGTGGGTGCGTGCTGGTCTGGGGTTGGCCCAATGCCAACTGAAGAGGACCCGAGACTTGAGTCCTCTCACCCAGCACTCTGCTTTGGGGGCCTCAGAGAGGAGCCAGACCTTGGATTTGGCTCAGGACCCTGCACTGGCTGGTTGGTTATGCTACAGACCACCTCAGGGCAGGCTCTGGTCAGCCAGGGCAGAGGGCCTTAGAAGGAGGGTCTAGGCAGATGTGGACTCTAAGTGACAAATGTATTCACCACAGCTGGATCATCGGAGCTGCGGTGGTCAATGCATTCTACTCCCCAAACAGAAACCAGATCGGTATGCCCACCTTGGTCATCTAGTGCAGCCCCCTGCCCCTCCTCGGCAGAAAGGGAGAGGGAGCTAGTCTTGTCTCATGTGGTCCACCTTAGGTTTGCAGGTCGGGAGGGTGACACAGAGGGGCCTGTGGAGAGCATTTTTCAGGAGACAGCACAAGGGTGGGAAGGAGCTAGGTGTGCACCCTCCATCAAGTTCTGCCATCTCCACCTCTGAGCCTGTATCTCTCTATGTACACTGGGCAAGGAGAGGTCCTAACCTCCACCTCCCAAGCTGCAGCATTAGATGGCAGGCCCAGGGGAGGTGTCCACCTAAGCTTGTCACACAGAAGTACCCACTCAGTTCATCTTTATCACCCTGTTGGGGACAGTGTTCCCTGCCGGAATCCTCCAGCCACCCTTCTTCAGCAAGGATCAGCCACAGGCCTTGAACTTTGGGGGCATCGGGATGGTGATTGGGCACGAGATCACACACGGCTTTGATGACAGTGGTAAAGGGGGGCATACAGGGGACCCCAAACACAGCCGTATGAGCAAGCCACATACACGTACCCTCCCATCTCCACTGAGCAGCCTGGGGTCATCCATTCAACCTCTTCATGGCTTAGGTCCATCACGGGCTCTACCTGGTCTCTCTCTCCATTCCTGGGAGGGGCTGCCCTGACTGGTTCTTAGGGCTAGATACCATCTATGATGCCATGGCTGGCTTCCCCCTGTGGCTAAGCCAGGGGCACCTTCTGAGGACAGGCCAGCACCCCTAAGACCATGTGTTCCCACACCTGGACTTAGGTAATTTGAATATGAGACTGGAGACCCTAACTTCAAGAGAGGAGGGGTGGTGTGGAAGCCCTCCTTAACAGTGTGGTGCCGTGTGCTCAGAAACCCTGAACTACAGATGCTGGCTCTGGCTGCGGGAGATAACCTAAGAAGCCGGGCTCTGAACTGGCCTTGCTATATGGGGACAAGGGTGCAGTGAGAGCAGGGGCCTTAAAGACAGCCTGCCTGTCCTCTGCCCCCACCCAGGTCGGAACTTCGATAAGAACGGTAATATGCTGGACTGGTGGAGTAACTTCTCTGCTCAGCACTTCCGAGAGCAGTCGGAGTGTATGATCCACCAGTACAACAACTTCTCCTGGGACCTGGCTGACCACCACAATGTGAGCATGTCGCCAGCACTACAGTGACCCTGCATCTACATCCAGCCCCATGGGACAAGAGGGGGGTGGGGTCCAGGGCAGGGCTGCTCCCCGTCCTGTCTCTTCTGTGCAGGTGAATGGACTCACCACCCTCGGAGAGAATATTGCAGACAATGGTGGAGTGCAGCAGGCATACAAGGTGGGTTCAAGCAGGACCCTCAGGGAGGGACTCGGGGGGAGGGTCAGTATGGCAAGGCAGTGCCTACACTGGGCACCTGGACTGGGGAGGTAGAAGAGCCCCAGATCCCATGGCCATCTTCACCTGTGCCCCACCCCTGAGCTAGTGTGGAAAGCACTTGTTTCCTAGTGAGCAGATGGGGTAGAGATGGCATATCCATGGGCCTCAGCAGCCCATACAGCCTTGGGAATGGAGAGCACAGGACACCAGGAACCCATTCAGGGTGGGCTCTAAGTAGCAGCTATCTGGCCGCAGGACCCACAGAGCCCTGCTGGATAGGCCTTCAGAAGGCTGCTGAGGAATTAACAGGGGCCCTAAGCTGGTGAGGAGGTCCTGAAGCCAGACCTCCATTCTACGTGGGGATCTCTGGAGACCTGGCTAGGCCCAGCTCCCATTTGGTTCTTGCAGGCTTATCTACAGTGGCTGGCTGAAGGTGGCAAGGATCAGCGGCTGCCAGGACTGGAGTTGACCTATGCCCAGCTTTTCTTCGTTAACTATGCTCAGGTAACCCCCACTCCTGGTCCTCACTCTTACAGCTTTGTAGAGCCCACTATATGGCACCTCCAAAGGCACTGTTGAGCTGGCCACACACCAGAACCGAAACCTGTGTGCCTGGTAGGCTTCCTGAAGGAGGAGCTGGAGCTGAGGAGTGGGAGCCAGTTAGGGAGGAGGCAGCGGATCTGAGGGAGGGGCGGAACCTGCTAGCCTCCTGATCCTCACTCTAGAAGTAGCAGCTTGGGCTGGTGGGGACTCCCTGCTGCAAGGGGCCCTGCCCCAGCCCTCACGTCAGTAGCTAAGCACCTCACATGCCTCCAGGTGTGGTGTGGGTCTTACAGGCCTGAATTCGCAGTCCAGTCCATCAAGACTGACGTCCACAGCCCTCTGAAGTACAGGTAAGTACACCTGCCGCAAGCAAGCATACATGCCCCACCCCTGCCCGGGGCTCTCCCTTCCCCCATCTCAGACTGACTACTCTGGACTTGCTGGTCCACAGGGTACTGGGCTCACTTCAGAACCTGGCCGCCTTCTCTGAGACATTTCACTGCCCACGAGGCACCCCCATGCACCCCAAGAAGCGATGCCGTGTCTGGTAGCCAAGCCTCAGCCATGCTGCAGCCCCCACCCACCCACCAACTGGAGGCTTTGTGAAAGGTGCAGCCAGCAGAGATGCAGGTCTTTGCCTGAAGGCCACAGCGGCCGACACCCAGCCTTCTGCGCCAGCCTGGAGTGCAACACCTACCCACACCTGTGATGCGTGGTGCCTGGCCCTGTGCTCCTTCAGGCACGTGAGAGTCAGCGGCCCTGGAGGTGCTGTCAACTGTCTTCCACCCTCTCCAAAGCGTGTGGCTAAATGTCAAGCTTCAGACTTGAGCTAAGTAAATGCTTCAAAGAAGACACTGCCTTGTTTATATAGGAACCAGCTGGGTGCTCAGGGGGCAGCGCCTGGGTAAACTGCAGCCAGTGGGAGTTACAGCTGATGGGGAAACAAGGCTCCTGACCAGCCTCCCAGGATCATGGTGCTAGGAACTCTAAAGAGACCTGGATGCTCCCAGGGGCCACCATCAGGGACCACAGTTTGAGGGGCAGGGGGGAACTGATTCATGTTATTACCTGACAGAGGGACCTGGAGACCTAAGGAGTAACAAGTGGGATCAAAAGCCAGAGGTGGGCTAGATAGCAAAGGCATCTAGGCATCACCTAAGGCATCTTTACAGGTGGTCACTGGGGAGGGGGGACATCAAGGAGGACACTGTGGTCACCCTGATTTGGTCTAGGGAAGTGCTAAGCTGGTCATCAGAGCCCACCTGGAGGACAGAGCCTTTGAGAGAAGCCTGAAATGGTAGAGAGTCTGGAGTTCTGCTCTGGACCTTTTACGACCCTGGAGAAAGCAGACCTGGGGAAACTGACATGCTCAGACTGACCCAGGCTCTCCTAGGGCGGCCCAACCACTCTCAGGTCAGCAAGTGGTCTCTGACTCAGGAACCGATTCCTCGGTCTCCATCTGTCATCTCCTCCCTGAAAAACCAACCAGCCCCCTCCAGCCTCCAACTCCTAAGCCCTAGCACCAGACACAAGCAGACACCCCATCCTACTCCTCCAGGCTGGGCTCTGATGGGGTCTAGAACCAGAGCCCTACCAAACTCTCCTCTCCGCATCCTCAGTTGCCTCTCTGTCCTCAGAGTGGGCTGGGGTGTTATGTCACCTTGGAAGGAAAAGATATGACTGTCCCTCCCTCACACACCACAATCAGATCCTGAAGATGGGACCTTGACGACAGCCCTTCCACCTGGAGGGCCCAACAGCTGAGTATGGCAGGAGCCTCAGAGGATGCAGGATATGGAGTCAGTGAAGACACTCGCTGCCCAGAGCTTGGTTTAATGGCTCACTGTTGCCCAAGGATGAGGCAAGGGCTCAAGTGTCCTGCCTCAGGAGCGCCATAAGGCTTCTTCCTACTCGGCACACCCAGCGTAGCAGAGGCCTCTAGGTCTTCAGAGGCTGCAGACATCACCTTCCACACACTTCTTCGTCACACTGCAAGGGGTAGAGGGGCTCTGTCAGGCTGGCCATAGTCCTCAGGGGCCAAGAACAGCAGGGGCCTACCACCCACTGTGCCAGGCACAGGAATCAGCCTGACTCTTGGGCTATTGCCTTCCATGTAGAGCACAGGAGGTTGGGCACAAGAACCACACTAATACCTGATAGAGACGTCTAGAACATACCCCAGCCTTCTCTCTGCCCTGCAGCCCACCATCTCGGGGAACCCCTGCTGTGCCTGCCCACTGGCCTCACTCCCCCTCCATCCCCCTCTACAAGCAGGGCCATAGATCTACATCCTGGGGCTGCCAATACACACACACACCAATAACATAAATTCCAAGAGACTGGCCCAAAAGGAGTTGTGTATACCTGCGGGTGGGAGAGCTCACCTGGGGTGGCTTGCTGGAACAGACCTCAGCAGAGATGCCCAGGGCCTGTAGGATGTTCTCCTGAGGAACATAATCGCCCGGGGACTTCTGAATAAAGTGTAGCAGTACTTTGTCACCACCTGTAGAGCAAGCAGGCAGTCAGGGTGCTTGTATTTTGCACCCATGTGCCAAGAGGGGAAGAGGGTAGTCCACCCACCAAGTCAGGCAGCCCTGTGCCCCAACCAGGTACCAAGACTAGGAGCTGGTCTGCCCACAGTCCCTACCCTGCCCAGCTGACACTTGGGACCAGAAGGCAGGAGCTATGAAGACATGAACCACCAAGTGTCTAGCGAGGTGTGGCCCTCAGTCCTGCCCTGACCCACCCTTGCTGACCACCAGCAGTCCTCCACTCTGAAGCAGGTCCCCAGACAGGTTTCCCTGGATGCCAACAGCCTTGGCCTGGAAAGACAGGAACAGGACCCAGTCAGTTCGAGAGGGAAGTCCCTAGAGATTCCCATCATGCCCTAATTCCATATGACCTTGGGCACCACAAACCTTGGCGGCGACATCACGCACAGGCTTTCCCAAGGCAGCTGGCAGGATGCTCAAACTGTTGTACCTGCAAAGACATGGGGGTCCCTGGGCCAGACTCTATGTGAGGCACAAACACCAACACCTGTCCCCAGGGTCCATGAGATACATAGATCAGGCCTGCCCTACCCACACATCTCACCAAGGGCTCAGAAACAGGCAGGCAAATCAGCAACCACCCCAACTGGGAACAGTTACTGAAGCCTCAGAGCCTCCAGGCTGAGTACAGCTGGCCTGGGGAGGTGGTAGAGTGTGGGGACTGGGCTCCAGGCTGGGTGTGCCCAGCGATCTGGCTCAGCTGGTACTGCCAATCATGGCAGCCAGCCTGCGGCAACAGAGGGCCGAAGGCTAACATGGGCCCTGACCGAGGCACAGGGTTCCAAAGTCCCTCCTCTGTCTAGAACCACAGCCTGCTGAGCATAGGCCTGAGCTTGTTCTAGAGACCAGCACACAAGAAAAGATGGCAAAGGGCTGGCCGAAGCCGCCCTTGCCACAAAAAGCCTTGAGGCAGACTAAGCAGAAGGTAGAAAGCCAATCTTACAGCAATGGTCACTCCTCTGCCCCTCCCCGGGTCCCATGCCCCCACACAGTCCCCCTTACCGCTTGAAACCCAGCTCCTTATAGAACTGCTTGCTCTCATCCAGGTAGAGTTCTAGAAAGGAAAGCCACAGGTATGTGTCCATGTCCCCTCCTACATTCTGCTGCCTGCCCCCGTCTCCGCTCAGTCTCCAGCTCAACCCGCCCAAGCAGGGAGGGCCGAGGAAGGGTGAGTTCAGACCAGAAGCGCAGGGCTCACAGGGACTTTGTCGCTAGGTCTAGGCCGGGCCAGTGCACAGCCTGGAGACAGGGACGCCAGGAGGAGATAATGGTACTGACAGAGGAGTATGTATGTCCTGGCTGGGCCTGGACAAAGACCAGGGCTGGGCCGAGAGGGCCACCCAAGGCTTTGAGTCCGGGAGAGGGGTCGCACCTCCCGAGAAGTAACCACCATCCAGGAACTCCTGCAGGCCCAGGGCCTCAGGCCCCACGCCCACCAGGCGCACGCCGTGCCGGTCCAGGAGGCCCCGGAGGTTACTGAGGTCCTTGGCGATCCAGCGGCACACCATGCAGCCGAAGCGCCGCAGCCCGGCCACCACACACGCCTGCTCCTGCCACAGGCTCCGTAGCTCCACAGCCTGGAGGGCAGAGGGGTCCAGGTGACGTGGGCTCACCATGCCCGAGGCCCCTCAGCCCCATGCGCCCCTGAGCCTAGTGCTCCATGCCTCGCTGGCCCCCCAAACGGCGCGCCACCAGCTGCACCCCACGCGCGGCGTGCGCGCCCACCGGAGCCCCCAGGGCTTTCGCCCCCAGCCCGGGTGAGTTGCCGCGGCGTCGGGGCAGGTGCTGGGACGCGTCCTCCGCCCTGCCCCCGCCTGGCCTTACCTCCCCGGTCACTGCATGCTTCAGGACACATGCACCCACGCGGCCAAGGTCCGCGCTCATGGTTGCCGCGGTGACCCTCGGCTCCGGCTCCGGCCTCCCGGTACCGGACCCCTGCAGGAGAGCCGGCCTCCCGGTACCGGACCCCTGCAGGAGCCGCTACGCGGTCCAGCCGCCTCATCGCCCCGCCCACGGGCCCGCCCACAGCCCGTCCACCGCCCCTTTGAGGCTCGGAAGAAACCAGGTTCTTGCATATGCGTGAGCCCATTGGTCGCGGACGCGGCCGGCGGAGCTTGACGGGCCTGCGCACACTGCGCTAGGGCGGGCCCTCTGGGTCTTCCGGTGCAGCGCGGGTGGCTTGGTGCATGGCTGCATCGCATCCAGGGTGGAAACCGAGGCCTGAGCACACGCGTCTCCACTGTGTGGAGCGATGAGGGCAGGCTGGAGTCTCCGCCTGGCCAGGGGGCCTGTCCTAGCAAGTCCATATCAGCACAGTCCATTCACAGCAGGCGGCGACGGACTGGCCTTCCCACGAGGTCTGGCTTCTTGCTTGAAGATCCCTAGAGTGTCCCGTTTTCGAGACAGGTCACGCGCCTGGATTGTCTTTCCTCATAAACTACAGTTTGCTGCCTGCCGAGTCCTTGTCAACTTTTTAAAGTATTTTTATTAGCCGGTCGTGGTGGCGTTACACGCCTTTAATCCTAGCACTTGGGATGCAGAGGCAGGTGGATCTCTGTGAGTTCCAGCCCAGCTTGGTCTCCATTAGCGAATCCAGGCCAGCTGTGGCTACAGGGAGACCTTGTATTAAAAAGACTAAAAAACATTTTTTAATTACTTTTATTTTATGTGTGTGTGTGTGTGTGTGTGTGTGTGTTGCCTGCATGTAGGTAAGTGCACCCGTGTCGTGCAATGCCCTGGGAGGTCAGAAGAGGCTGTCGGATCCCCTGGAACCGGAGTTATGGACAGTTGTTAGGTGCCATGTGGGTGGTGGGATTCGAACCTGGGTCTTCTGCAAGAACAGCCAGTGTTCTTAACTGCAGAGTCATCTTTCTAGCCCCCCCTTCAACTTTTTAAAAAATATTTTTATTTACATGTTTTTATTTTTGATCCTTTTGAGACAGAGTCTCCCTGTAGCCCCATCTGGCCTGGAACTTACTATGCAGACCAGGCTGGTCTCCAACTCAGAGATTCACCTGCCTCTGCCTCCCAAGCGCTGAGATTAAAGGTGTGCGCCCCTAGACTTGAGAACCAAGCTCTGTGACACCTTCTCTTTTTAATATTTTATTTGTATTTTTATTTTGTGTATGAATACATGACAGTGCACCCATGTCATGCAATGCCCGAGGAGGTCAGAAGGTGGCATCAGACTGGAGTTATGGGTGGCTGTTAGCCACCATGTGGGTGTTGGAATTTGAACCTGGGTCCTCTGCAAAAGCAGTCAGTGCTCTTAGCCGCTGAGCCACCTCTCCAGCCCCCTCAAATTCTTTAAAACAAAAAAGTGGTTGAATTGATGTTTTTATGCTACAGTAGCAAAATTGGAGTGGCATATTCTTGACTATCATCACAGAGGGAAGTGGAAGTAACCACCACTGAAAAGCAGGCTTGTCACAGATCCCCATGGGCAGCCCCTGACCCCACTCCACACAGTGCCACCTGCAAGAGGCCCAGAGTTGATCAGGCAGAAGGACGCTCATGGGGGAAAGCTCCTAGGCAGGCTTGGTATAAATCGTTTCCCAGCCTCTGGGATACAGGTCCAATCCTGACTGACGGGCACGGGCCCTGGGATAACTGAGTTGAAGACAGTTAACCTGGGTTGGTTGGGCCACAGACAAATTGAACATTTCTGGCCACTATTTCCTGTATCTAGGTATTGACTCTCTCTAGCGGTCAATCTGGGTAAGGCTCCAGATGTCAATCTTACTAAAAATTACATGCTCCTCCTGCCACTGGGTGTCCCTCACCAAGTGACACAGGAGTATCATCACCCTGTAGCAGCCACATGGCAATTACATTCAGACCAACATTGATGGACACAGGTATCTACGTAGGGACAAAGCATATCACAAATATATTTCCTGTGAAAAGTAGGAAAAAACATAACACAGTTGCAATTGAGAGAACCATTCCAGGGCTGGGGAGATGGCTCAGTTGGTAAAGTGCTTTCATAAAAACACAAGGACCCAGGTTCAACTCTGAAATCTACGTGCGAATTCTGAGTGTGATTAGTTTATGCGTTTTATGCCAGCACTGGAGAAGCAGAGACAGGAGGATTCCTGGGACACCTAGCAGGCTAGTCTAGCTGCATTGGGAGCCCCAGTCTATTCTCAAAAGACTAGATGGGGGGCTGGAGAGATGGCTCAGAGGTTAAGAGCACTGGCTGTTCTTGCACAAGACCGGAGTACAAATCCTAGCACCCACATGGCATCTAACAACTGTAACTCCAGTTCTAGGGGATCCGACGCCCTCTTCCGTCCTCCACAGGCATTATACAACAGGAGTGCACGTACACACATGCAGGCAATATGCACATACACACAAAATAAATAAGGCCCGGCATGGTGCACACGCCTTTAATCCCAGCACTGGGGAGGCAGAGGCAGGTGGATCTCTGTGAGTTCAAGGCCAGCCTGGTCTACATAGTGAGTTCCAGGACAGCTGGGGCTAGAGGGAGACCCTGTTTCAAAAAGACCAAAAAATAAATAAAATAAAATAAGTAAACCGGATGGACAGGTCCTATGGAGCAACACCACAGGATGAACCCTGGCCTCCGCATGCACACATGTGCACAGGCACCAACACACACACACACACACACACACACACACACACACACATTGTGTGACACTATTCCTGGGAAGTCCTGAACAAATGTCTACTCACCCCAGATAGGGAATCAATGGCAGACCAAAGCAAGGACACCATCAACGTCCAACTTGGTGAACCAATGAGTGTTATTGAGGTTATTATGTACAGGAGTTTGAGTGAGGGGTTACTGACAGGATCAGAAATGACTCAAAGACAGCTGCAGCACCAAAACCCACCCCGGCCTAGGTGACGGATCATGAAAGCAGGAAATCTGGGGCACTGCACAACCTACAGGCAGCTTAAGAGGTTGGAGAGTGTCCTTTCCAGGAAGCACAGTTGGTCTGAGCCTCTTGCTCTGACAATGTCTCCTAGCAGTCCTTAGACGATATGCTTAGAGAGGAAGGGGCCTAGTGAACCCAGTCAGTTTCAGGGACTCCCTCAAACACTGTTGTTGACTTCCTGAGCTTAATGGGTGTTGCTGGAGGATGGACTGTTCCACCTCCCCTCAAAAACATCCTATTATTTATCTCCCTTTAGACATCCTGTTGTTTATCTAGCTTCCCTCCAAGATGGAAGGTTTTATCTCAGAGGATATTGTTATACAACAGCACTCACACAAATACAAACACAAACACCCACGTATCTGCACACAGACACGTATCCACACATGAACACACACGCAAATATACTTTCATCTGTGCATGCACACACACATACACATAGGCAACTGCTCACACACACACACATACATACCTGCACACCAAAAAAGCAAAAAAGAAAATCACTTTGACCGGGTCTTGGTGTTCCACATCAGTAATCATAGTTATTTGGAGGCTGAGGTAGAAAGACCACAAGTTCAAGGCTTGCCAGAGATGCAGAATGAGTCCAGAGCCAGCCTGGGCAACTTTATAAGACCCTCAGTCAAAACAAAAGTAAAGGGGTTTGGAAGCAACTGGGCAGTATAACACTTGACTGGCATGTGCAAGGTCTGGGGTTCTAGCCCCAGTATCAAAAACTCCCCTAATGCCACATTCACATCCAACAGGTACAGCCCCAGCCCCAGGAGATAGTCAGTGTTCCCAAGTCTGTCCTCAAGACAAACAGGCTGAGGCTCAACACGTCCAGAACAGGCAGTATGAAACCCAGCCAGGAATGGCTGTCATTGCATCCTTGAGGTTTTAGTCACCATCTCCCAGGGTTTGAAAGGAGGGGGCTATGGGAGCCAACCAGGAGGCATCTGTACCCTGTTGGATGGTGGGAACAGCATGCACCGACTCCTAGAACCTGAGCCTTGATCCCATCTCTGCAGCTGTGTGAGGCTGGAACAGTCCAAGACGACTACCCAGATGTGCCACAGCTCCCAGACAGGGCCATCCTAGATGTCTGGTCGCCAGCCTGCTGGTCAGCAGTTGAGGGCTGTCTCCTCCTCGGCCACAATGGTGACCTCAGTAACTGGAAACCTGACAGGGTTCTCCTGTCTCTTCCCCTGCTAGAGAAATTCAGGGTAACATTCAGGCTCTCAGACACCAAACAAGGCATGCATAGTTCTTGGGGCCATTTTCCTGTAAAGCTCAGCTACAGACCGTGAAGTAGGGGCCCCCAAACTGCTGAGACCTCCTCCCCCCACCAAACACCCAAGCAATGATACCTGGAGAGAGACCAGCACCTTGGTCACAGGACCTGTAACACAAAGATATCAGGTCATAGGAGAGGCCAGAATGACTGGCCAGGGGACATGGCACACAGCAATGGGCAACCCACATTCTAGGTCTGGCTGTGTGACCTGCTCAAGAGCCTGACCCTCTCTGAGACAAGATGAAGTGAGCCATGGACGTGTGTCAAGACGCACAGGAGGCCCACCAGGGGAGAGAACAGGCCCCCGCATACCTCCCCACGAGTCCAACCCAGGCCACCACTAAACCTTCTGAACACAGACTGCTCTGGGTTCCCCACAGTCTCCAGAGGCAGATGGGAGCCGGGGCCCATGCTTAGGAGTGGGCAGGGGTGGTAGAGGCTCCATAGCCAGGGGCCCCACCGTGCCGACCCCCCGAGGACACCTAACACCCAGGCTCTGGGCAAAGCAGGAAGTCCCCCAACATCAGCAGCTGCTGTGCATGCAGGGGTCCAGAAAATCCCACAAGGAACCCTAGGGCCAAAGCTGTGGGCCTGATCCCTGACAGGATGGGACACTGCTCACGTGTGTGCCTTCTTCTCCTGGAGAACATCAAGACAGCCACAGTGACAAGGACAAGGACCGACACGATGACCACAAGAAGGTAGAATCCCCAGGAGAAGGAGCAGGAGGCGTCCGTGCTGCTGGTCCCGTGTTCTCTTTCTTCCTTGAGCCACGCCAGGCACCTACGAGAGAGGAATCATGGGCTGTGGTGGGGGGCACGG